TAATAAAAAAGGAAGGGATTTTTTCCGTAAACAATCAATGATACAATTAATTAGCCAATATGTAAACAAATACATCTTGAGAAATAAACAAAAGGGACTGGAAAATAAATTTCTACTTCTACAAACTCTCTCCTTTCGTGTTATGAGTCAAAAATACAGAAAATGATAACAACAATAAAGTATATTTCAGTTCATACTCTTTTTATGAGCTAATATAAAAAGCTTACTTGATGTATTATTAGTACAATATTAGTGCTGAATAATGAAATGGTTCAACGTATATCTTGTTAAGCATATATGTTAGGATTGAATTAATGCATGATATTGATTTTTTTGTGTAGGATTTAAAAACTATTAGTTTTAAGGCTCAGCAATATGCTCGCAACTAATAATTATTTGGTTAATTTATGGTAAATAGTCTAATTACGATAAATCTGAGAATTCAAATTCATTTTCAAAGCAAATGTTTCTTTTAGAAGAGAAAATAAACATTAGTCTTAGATAATAAAAAACTAAAACCATTTTAAAGTAAATCATGGTTGAAGATTAAAATGAACACGAGTTTTGTTATTAGCATTTACTTGTCTGAATTATCCACATTTGCAGTTAAATCCGAAGATCCTGGTTTCGATTCATGGCAGGCTCAGCTAATCATTTGTAAACAACGTAGAACCTGGTATATAAGGTCACTGATTATTACCAAATACTTTTGGGGATTTATGGGTAGTTATCACTTACTCATGAAGTACCTACGAAGAAAACTAGATCAGTAATGGTCTCGGAGATCTCCGAGCATGACCTAAGGGTCTTGAGGTCAATCACATATGGTCTTTTGTTTAGTAGAAACTGATATGCTAACCTCACACTTGAAAAGGCTTACAGATGGAAAACTGTGTTGTAATCTAATGTGTGCTACCTTAAGGCAGATCTTTTCTAATCCCCTATTTCCACTGTATAAAGGCAGGTTCGTTGCAAATCACAGTTGTCTGGTGGAATCTCCCTAATTTCGTCATGGTCTCGGACCTAAAGCGACTAATTTTAGTCCCATTCTTCTCCAAATAACCTGTTTGGTATAATAGGACCGGAAGAAAAAAGGCGTCATAGCCCATATGGCTAGATTAGGTGATCACGATATCTAAATCAGACTCTCCCATGGATGTAATGGCTACGATCAGGTCACAGCAGGGTTGCTCACTGTAGAGGCGCCTCTATGAGGACAAAGTAGGTTTACAGTGTTTTATTGTCATCCGTAGTTCATTGTAAAAATAAAAACCAAACAACCAAACAAATAAATCAAAGCAATATTCGACCGAAGATTAGGACCACTAGACAACTAAATAAAATGATTAAAAAATCTACAAGTAAGCGTATAAACTAATATTTGAAACTTTATACCAAGAAATTGTATTTTAATAATATTCGAAAAAATCATGCTGCATTTCAAAAGAATCCTTTCTTTCAAATAATTGATTCATTAATCTCAAGAGTATTATTAGTTAAACAGCTTCGAAACTGAATAATGTAATGTTGAATAGACAGCATTTTGGGTATATAACAACAACAACAACATTAAAACTATTTACAGTGAGTTGATCTTTTTGATCAATGGTTCATGTTAATTATATGAAAGTAATTTTCAAAGAAATATTTATAATATTTTTGGTTAGAATTAGAATATAAGTGCCGCAAAGTGATTGAATGAATTTCATTGTTCACTGAAAAAAAAATCATTTTTTGGCGCTTAAATTTTCTGTTTATAAACTATTTTTAATCATATGATGAAAATCATATCAGATGATTTTCATTTAGAAAAATTTAAAAAAAACCGACGTTTAAGACATTGATGACGTAGAACTATTGATAAAAATGAATGCAATCTAACTACTTTCAACTTTTATAATAAACCCTATATTGTATTTGAGATATATTGTAAACATTTTAAGTAGTATGTTCTAACCTATAATTAAAAAGTTTAAAATTAATTCGAGTATTCGATAATATAAGTATAAGCATTTTTACGCCAGTTCAACGGTATAATAATTAATAGCTTCACAGTCATTTTGTAGTATTACACTCATTGGCACCTAATGCTGAAATATCTGACTGTTAAACCTGAAACTCGGGGAAAAATAGAACTCATAATTAGATTCATTATCTCTGTTATAACTATTTGCCATTATATCACAAAAAGAATTGAAACTTATCTTTAACTTACAATATGACTTTCACAATTCTTAAAATATAATCGTAAAATATTTTTAACTATATTCATTCCTTTAATTGTTTAGTGTTAACGTGTGTAGCTAAACACATATATTTAAATTGCTCACAAGTGAAAATAGCATCACATATTAAGAGTTTTAAAACAAGTGCATTTGTAAAAATATTTTCATTTTCTAGATTTATAAAAAATTTTCAACAAAACGTCTTGAATATTGAAATATGTGTGCCGATATCTGTAGTTAATAAAGAAATTTGAATAACGTTATTAATAATTACATGGTATGAATAATAATTACATGACAGACTAGCTTAGAAATATGGTTGCACAATGCGTACACTTGTTGATAAACTGAAACAAACAAACAAATTTATTGTTTCACTGCTGTCCTTAAATGTATTCTCACTTAATATTTACCATAGTTCCTAGGATTATGTTTATCAACTAGAATCCAAAGCTTCGTGTAGATTGCCAGGTATCAAGATAGTTTAAACTACAAATTGACTTTAGTCAGATAATCATCTAAAATCAGTAAGCATTAGGTAGCCTTTTCATTACAGTATACAATTCCTTTGAAATCCACACATAAAACCTTCAAGTGGATAAAACCTAGGACCTGTAAGACTCGCAATAAGTGTGTAATCTCGAAACCAAGTAAATGTAATCATATCACACGTGATAAAGATAGTACTGACAGTAATAGATGACTCAAATTGTAAATTAAATGATTTCATCATATAGCCTGAACGTCCTGCATTTGACTTACGGCTTGACCTCTGGAAGGTAGTCTAGCCTAGGTTAGTCCCTGATAGACGCTACGTTTGTACTATTTGCTCGTTGAATAAGAATCAGTATGTACATGGATAAGTAAAAAAACCGATTGCAAGTCTATTTAAAAAATATATTCGTCAGATAGTATGGATTCATTACAGTAAGTGACAGTGAAATCCGTAATGTTTCGTCCAAACTATTCAAAGGATGATAATAAAAACGTCAGTGCATATATTTAATAATGTATTCTGTTATTGGATGGGATTAACTGAGGCTAAACATGTCAACTACTGGATGCCGGCTCAGCGAACTAAAGGTTAGGTATGTGCCAAGAGATCCAAAGGTTTTGAGTTTGTTCCTCTTCAGCGTTTTGGATTCTCACAGCCGTATCTCACACAAGGACAAAACAGCTATCCAGTGCTTCTTGGTTTCCAGTGGTCATGTAGCCGAGATCGGTTCATGATATTGGTTATAAAAAGCGAATATAACAAAACTGACGTCTCGAAACTATTAGCAACGTATCATCCCAAGTGAGTATATAACTGCATCAAGATACATATAAACATTAAATACCAAACAATTCACATCAACTTATTTTGCTTCATTCCTTAATATAATAAGTTTGCTAACGCACCATACACGATGAGATTGTTATGCTAAAAAAAAGTTTGTTGTAGTCTAAACATTATCAAGTTACCTGTCCTGACTGAACCAAACTAATAGAAACACATACTATAGCATACAGATGGAATATATAAAAGACTCTAATAAAGTTCGTTAAATTAAACATTAAACAGATGAATGAACTAGATGGATTTTCACTTTACGTGATTAAGTATTTTTTGACTAATTGAATTCATTTTTTAGTAATCGAAACATTTTGGTGGCCCTTTAACTGTCTCTAATTAGACCGGGCAAATGATCGTTGTCGAATGATTCCTGTCGAAATATATATTCTAAATATTCTCGTATATTATCATAGACTTGACTGGCGTTAGTATATAATGGAATTAAATAAGTTAAATACGAGAATAAATTTCGAATACGTGTATTTCATACAGTTGTAGATCAGAACAGACAAACAGAGAGACAGAGCTAAGTGAAATGAAACGCGGTGGAGAAGGCAAGTAGCCCATTTTCGTAGTGGCTTAGCTTCGTCAATCAATCAACTTGACAACAGTTATTATATAAATCCCATGGTATTTGAAATCAGAAGGCAATAAGAAGTGGCAACTAGAGTTTATAAACGGATAGCACAGATCACAAAGCTACTAGCACATCGAACAAATTTGAAGCAGAAGCGAATAGGTGTTTGCCAGCAAGTACAGAGAAGAACTCCTAGTCAAATCGATTAGGGGTACAGCGAGGAAAAGGCTATCGATAGGATTCGATTACATATATACGTGTGGAAGATAATGATTCATCGAGTGATATTAAAGCTATCAACATTTAAGTTAGAGAGAGATGTGAGTATGCTGTCATATGATCAAAGATACACGTTTGCACATATAAGATAGTGATCGTAGTAGTACTAAGAGATAAACAAATCGTTACCGTTTGAATAACATTGTTAATTAAGTTAATAAAAGGGTTAAAAAAGAATTGACAATAGTCGAAATTAATTTAAGGAGAGCTGCTATAACATCTATCCTCAGACAGAAAAAACGGTTTACTGTAATATCATGAACTGATTAAAATTAAAAACTAAAAAAAACTACAAATGAATAGTTTGCCCTCACAAATTATTAGTAAGAATAAAGAATATGTAATTCATAAGACGCCTATTTGAATTAAAACTTTAAACGTAAATTTATGAGTTAAATTAAAAAACGATGGTCTATTGTGATTTATTTTTCATGACTCTAACTACTTTTCATAACTAAAGTCAACCAGTTCAGGTGAACTGTCAGCTTCAAACATTAGAAAGCTAACTGTAGAGTAAATGTATACATATATATTAAAAATGGCTATGAAGTTGCCTGAATAACATAAAAAGAAAACCGCTTACTTAAGATGTAACTGTTTTTCAATTTTTCTGTCGAAAACACTTGTTAATTGTTTACCATCTAAACGAAGTCGACTAGCAGCTTCCAAACATCCACCAGGTAAGCAAACATATTCACGTAACCAGTACAAAACATGGTCAGTGTTCCAACAAAATGATGGTAATATGCAAACATCTGAAGCTATAAGATTTTTTGTCACCTGAACGTGTCGATTTAATTTATTAGGCAACTGATTTGTGGATGCGTTAATAGGATCAGAACTATTTAAAGGTTTGGATGATAACGTATCTGCTTTTTAGAAAAAAAAAGAAATGAAGACTCAATTCATTAACCATAGTAGTTGTGAAAATTTATATATATATATATAGTAATAAGTTATCGTGCTGAACACAACTATCTTTTCATGTTATGATTATCACTTGAACTGATTCCATAGTTGGAAAAAATTACAATAAAAATTGGGTATTTCAGGCCGGTCCCAATAAACCGCAATGAATCTCAAATATTTGAGACCTAAACCTTTTCTATTCTAATTTCTGAAAAAGAATCAAAAATCAAGAATTATTTCAAGAATTAGAAGAAATCCTAAATATAATAAGTGCTATTACAATACTGTACGCTACGCCCTAATGAAAGTATCCGATATCTATCCAAGATTCATTATTAATGGAAAGCATTTTGAGGCTGTTTTTTGATAATATCATCAGTGTTAATGCATGGAATTATATTCGATTATTCCTTCAGCTGATTAAGATAGAAATAGGAATGCTATGCTTTAAATGGCCACAGGAAAGTAGTGATTATCACATAGTGATCTAATATTATCAGTCATATTTTTATTGTACTCAAATAAACAGTCAAAGTCACGTCAGACATTTTCTGTATACATTGTCGGATGATTGGAAGTAATTGATAATGAACCTTAAAATTTATGTTTGATAGCTTTTGCCTACTGACTAATAATATCACAAAACAGACTGAATTTAGCTACCTCAGTGTACTAGGTGGTGCATACAATAAGTTGTTTTCTAATAACATATTTGAGTTTTTGGTGGCATTTGTTGAAGCTGAATTGATTTCATAATAAAACTATGACTTTGATTTACGAAGCTCTGTTGATGGATACGAACTAACATAAAATGTAATTTCAGAAAATCCCCGCATTACTACCCAAATAAACATGCTTATTTCGTTATATTTACCAACAACACATTATGAAAACAGTAGCGAATGCTCCAGTATTGGAACAGTAAATCATTCAAAATCTCAACAGATAGGACTTAATCATATCTTTCTCAAACTATTATCTGATACTTAGAAGTGATCATTAAGCCTAGGAGTAATATTGACTGGATATTTAATACACAGATGGGAAATATAAGACGTAATATTGAGTGATTATGACAAAGTTATGCAGGTTGTTTATGAATACGAAAATGAACAAAACAATTTACGCCGATAACATTTTGTTTATAGAATGTCAATACTTGATGTAAGAATCAATTCTGATTAAAATTAATGTCATTTATATTTGCGTCACACGACTAGATAAACTTTGTAATAATAGTTTGATATAAACATTTACTGAACATATTCATATAACAAAACACTATAAAATAAAGGAACTCTTTAAAATATTTGAATAGTAGCCTCTTACAAAGTATCATTTAAGTAAAAGAAAATTATCTGTAATCTTGTGGACATTAAATAATGATTCAACCAATATTGAATAAAACAAGTATACTCATTTCTGAAGTCGTTATAATCTACAATTTATATTGTTTATTTGAATCTTCCCATTGATGTCCAAGACTGCAACTGATAATAAAAAATGAATTTAAACTTCATTCCATCGCCCAAACTAGTGGCTATCAGGACTCAGTAGCTAAGTGGAAAACGCGATGGCGTTTGAGGCGAGCGGCACTGCGTTTGAGTCGCAGAGTGAACACAAACCCTAAGATGCAAGTACATGCGGCTGACAAGTTCGACATACAACGAAACGCGCTTCCTAGATTCCACTTCTATCCACTATCAATCTTTGCTTATAAAACTTATAAAATGTTTGTGATCACCAAGAGACGTGAATAGCCTGAATTCGGTTCCTAGTTATGTCCTGAGTAAATGAAGAATATCTCCTTCAGATTTATGTAACGGTAAGCGTGTAGTTCGATGAATATAGGCAAAGTTATTTGTGTTATATGAAAGACAGTAATATAAGCAAAAGTTATATCGGGTTGGCTTTCCCTTGATTTTTCATTTACCATCCCATCAGTCTTACTATCTCGAGTAAAAGTTTGTAAATCTACCGAATATTTAGTACATAACTAAATAAATATGAATATGACTACAAAACAGTCATAGCAGAAGTATTTTATAGTCTATTTTTGAAAGCAATAACTGGCGAGACTATAATTTATGGACGAACCAATCACATTTACGTCAGCAGATCTTAGATTTCGGGGCAAAATTAATTCATTCATTTGGCTAAATAGAGTTTTGGCATTATAACGGATGTCAGTTCGTGATGAAAACTCTATATCTAATTCCTAACCCTAACTATCAACTCTAAGTCAAAATTCTAATTCCTCACACTGGTTTATAACCCTCATTTAGCCGTAGTATGTAGGTGGACATTCTCAAGGTCTTTTTAAGCGTCGCTCAAAGATCACACATAAATTATAGTCTCACCCAATAATTATTAATAAATCAAATTAAATGATATCGGATATTCCAGAGCTATGGTATAATTTAAGCACACTAACGCATTAAGTTATAATATTATCTAAGTTAGTGTTTTACTTAAAAAAAACTAAACGTAAAGAAAACATAAAAATGAACCTAATCAACGTATTCAACTAAATTAAAATACTTCAACAATCAAGATAAGTGTCTCAGCTTTATTTTCAGTGGAAATCTATGTGCTTTTCGATATAAACAGAAGGCCAGAGAAAAATTATTATCCACTAATTGTATGTCGAAATAGTTCACGTTTAAATAATAATGATAAATATTTTTTCTTAATTTTTGACCTTATAACTTAGAAAATTGAATTGGACATAGAAATAATTTATGATTTTCACCCACCTGAAATGGATAGACGATTATAATTAACAAAAAGTATAAAATGGTGAAATAATTCATCCTGTATTTTTAACATCTCCTACATGTAAACTGATTAATTATCAGAAAAGGGTTTTGTGGAGATTTTAGTTATTTTTTATAGTTGAGATCGTGAGTCAATTGGAGCTAGACCACCATGGATGCTGGCTCAGTGGTCTCTCGGTTTATTGTTCGCGCGCGAGATTGATATGTCCTGGGTTCGAATCTCGCGAGGCGGGATCGTGGATGCGTACTGCTGATTAATTATCGTTTAAAATGTACTAATATATAAAAGCGTAGATGTAAAAGATTGTTTCCAGTATGAAGCATATATCAGCATATTATTTGTTAACTTAATTATTCATTTGATGGTACATATAAAGATAAATATTCACATTGTGTAATTTGACTCTATGACAATTTCCATGTTAAGCTGGTAGTATTTTTTTAAAATTACCATTTTAATACATAAGAGTATTAAATAGTGTTGATAAATATTCCTTATAAAATGAAAAACAAAACAGACCACCAAGAAATCAAAAATGAATGCTTTTTGACAATAAAACAGAAAAACAATGAGAAAACGTTTTTTAAAAAAAACCTTATCTGAATAACTCTTATCCGCTTTTTTAACGTTTGAACCTCACACATCAACTATCATTACTCAATATACCTATTTCATAAAATATATTACAATTCACTTTTAATTATCACTAAGAGCTACATGAGAAATAACTAATTTATTTTGTGTCTAATAAGATGAAATAATACATACTTCATAGTTTCAATAAAGTTTTTTTTAATCATTAACTTGAGGTTGAGTAATATTTGTTAATTAAAGTAACTCATTGATCATTTCCTAAGTCTTTTATATAATCCAATACATTAAAGCAAAACGAAATCCTTATAACTAAATCTTAAAATAAACTACTGTTGTATAAAATGACAGTAGTGATTTTATCCAACAGGAAATAAAATGATAGGTGAACTTGTTACTTAATTTTCAACTGACAATGTCAAAATAATTAAACTTTGAATTTGTATGCAAAACAAAACATTGAAAGCTGGTTTGAAAAAGAGTCATGGAGTTGTATATTGCATCCAAACAATGTTGTAAACTGTATTAGTTCACTTTTAATAATTAGTAAATAAATATCAGCATATGCTTTATTCAGTAAGTGAAAATACTAACGTGCTCAAATATAACTTTCCTTGGGCTTAATGATGTCTACCAATAAGGTATTAGCCTTCAAATTAACTATCGTAATGCTAAATTGGTTGATAAGTTTGAATCGAAAAGAGAACAAAGCAGCTTCGTGTTTAAGAAACCATGCAAAGACTACGACTAAAATGAAACAGTTTCAATAGGTGAGTAGATACTAATTAAACAAACCTAAATGACACTCAAACATACATAAAAGGATTTATCATAAGGAAAAACTCTTAAGATACATAATGGGGCATTAATTAAACCCTATTATCACAGACAGATTATAAACGTCATGAATTTCATTTGAGCTTTGCACGTATATAACTTTTCGAATTGAATTCATTAGGGTCACTGAGAGTACTGAAACGCAAATAATGATATAAAATTTAATAAGTTCTCAGACTTACCTGATATCATTTTGCAAATAAGTCACCAAAAATAAATTATACAGTAGATGGATATTTTACTTCACTAAAAGAACTATTGTTCAGCTTCAAAATGTAAGAAATGAGAGACGGAAGCAGAAATTTATCTTTTCACAGTCTTTTATAACTACTCAGATATCTATTCTTAATATATAGGACTTCAATTTTACTAACTTTGTCATCCTTCTGATTCTTATACACCAATATTATATATATATATATATATATATACCATTGAATCACACTCTTAATTATTATAAATATACGATATTGCACAACCGTCTACCATTGTTTTAAGTGAGTAACTGCCCAACAACATACACGACTGAACTCCACTGGCACTGTTGATGAATCCCATACTAGGACAAAAAGGCCATCTAGTGCTTTCTGGTTCTCAGTGGTGGTCTAACATTGATCCATTCATGATATCAATCAAAATCCAACAATCTCCAGAACCCTATACTGATTATTATAAATATAGTATGTTAAAATGTTACTATTTTAAGAACATCAGTCATGTGCAATTACTTAAATATTTGTTGTTAATATCTTAT